CCCCCCCCCGCCGAAACCTCATCTTTCCTCCTGACCACATTCAGTTCATTACGAATAGGAACATAAGAAGGCTTTGCTTCATTTACAAGTATCTTGATGATATATTCTGTAGCGACTGACACTCTACCCTTTGCTAGCTCAGATAAAGTTACAGCCCTTTGACTTTACTCAGCAATCTGTGTTCTTTCTGGAAATGATGTAAACTTGGTAAATGCATATATATTTTCAAATTCAGTTGACTGTACATGTGTACTCAGGCCAGGAATGCAGTGCAGAAGTACCTTTTATTTTTGTGCAGATTATACTTTAAGAAAATATGGTAGCATATAACATAGCTCGTTGTTACTAAAATAGCATATTAGGCCATTAATATTGCTGGTGATACCTTTTTAATCCTGTTAGTAATAGAGCATACTTGATGCTTTTTGCACCAAAAACAAGCCAATTCAACATTTAAAGGGAGAGGTAACTCTGCATTGCAAATTGAAATGTCATTATAATTGAATGAAATAGCCCTCATAGAGCAATAACGCACATAGGAAGCCAATGTTTTAAGCCTTTGTGAAACCTACAGCTTAAGTGGCTGTCTGATGCTATTACTGTGTTACTTAGGATAGTTAAGAAATAAAAGAATCAATAAGTTTGAAAAGCATGGCACGGATGATGTTCATACCTGAGGATTTGGGTTTTAAATTTGGTTTTGTGGTGGTATGTGAACAAGTAGGCGTCTTGATGAATATCTGTAATTGATGGCATGGATTATAGGGCGTTTGAAATTGCCTTTCAACAGTAGGAGCTCTGGTTGTCCAGCTTAGTGGGTTAGGAGTTGAGCTGCCAACCAAAAAGCAAGTGGTTCGATGTCACTGGCTGCTGTCTGGGAGAAAGATGGCTGGCCTCCTCCCATGTGATTTACAGAGGGTCAGCAGTTGGTTTCCACTCGCCACCAGTGGTAACATCACATTCAGTAAGTCATGCACATTTTGTTTCCCGATGTTGTTGTTGATTGCCTTCAAGTTGAGCATGACTCATAGAGACCCTATGAAGAAAGGCCTGAAGCCGTTTATCACAGTTCATAGGGTTTTCGGAGGCATGTTGTTGAGGAAGTGGATGCCACTCCTGCTAGTGGCTGCAATTCCAGCAATGTAACAGTATTCATTCTGTTTCTTCCTGAGCTTCTCTGTTTGTATTTGCATATCTTTTCTGCCCCCTCTTTGACTGTATGGAGCTCTGGTGGCCTAGTGAGTTGTGCTCTTAACCCAAAGGCACTTCTTTAATGGTTCAAACCCATCAGCAGCCCTGAGAGAAAGATGGGCTCTCCCCTCTCATGCATATTATGGCCTCAAAAACTCACTTTAGAGTCAGCTCTGGATTCAGCCTGACTCAGTGGTAATGAGTTTGGGAGTTTATGGGTGATTTTTTTTTAAAAAAAATACTTCTTTGTAACCGGTGTTTTTTGACATATACTGCCTTTTTGGGTTCATCTGGCTGGTTGTTTTGAGAAACCCGTTCCTCGCAGGTGTCTATGTTCAATTTATAGGCCTGTCGATTGTTTGGCTGAAAGGGCCATAATATCGAGGGTTTCTATTCCACCAGTTTTTATCAGATCGGTAAGTCTGCCCTGGTTTCAGAATTTTTTTGCTTTGTTTATATTTTCTCCTGCTCTGTCCAGGACTCTCTTTTGGGATCCCAGCCTGAGCAGTCTGTTGTAGTAGCTGGGCACCATCTAGTTGTTCTGATTTCAAGATAGTAGAGCCTGTTGTTCAGATGACAAGAAGCTTAAGATCTCTTCTCAAAAAACAAGGAACTCATATGCAATATTATTCAAAATGGATGACCCTGGAGGACATGATGCTCAGTAAAATATCTCAGTCACAAAAGGACAAATACTGCATGGTGCCACTGTTGTAGAAAGTGACTGACATCAGGGTTGGTGTAAGACTGAGAAAAACTGGATAGATTATATATACTGAATTGCTGAATTGAAACAGATGAGGAAGAGAACAGTTTAAAAGTGATATATGATAGCATATTATGATTATCACAGGAATCTAGAATTAAGGTTGCATAGTGGAGTGCATTTGGGGCAGCAGGGGGGCAGGGTCTGGGTTGGGGGGATTGTATACCAATGAAGAAGTTTATCTTTTGCTTTTCAAAGAGAGAGTGAACTGGGGGGAGTGGGGATAAAGAAAAAAGTGCAACAATGAATGAATGAAAATCCAAAATCACTGTAAATGTTCATTGAAATTAATAAAACAAAATTGAAAAAAAAAAAAAAAAGATCTCAAGTCTTACAATAGCCGTTCTGGTCTTTATCCTTTGTTGACAGTTTCGGCAACTTCCTTCCCCCTTTCTGCAGTCTTTCTCCCCCCCCCGCCCTTCCCTGGGAGGTCACACTGGAAGGCTGGGAGAAGAGCAGGGATTAGAGGCTTGGCTTTTTATTGCTAGTCCCCCCCCCCCCCCCTTCCCTTGCCTCCTGAACACTCTTCTCTTCGGTTATCCCTGCTTGCCACCATCCCATTGTAACACCTTACTCGTCTGCCACTTTGTGTTTCTGATTTCCTGAATTACACGCACTTTGATACCTTGTATTCTTAATAGCACCAGAGTTTTCCATTGGTTTCCTTTCCCTCTTTAAACTGCTTCTCTCCCGCTTGTCAACTTAGCAAGCTTATCTTGCATTTCCAGTACCTGGTAGAGGGCAGCATGTGTACTATTTAATAAATATTTGTTAAAAGAAGAAAATGAATGAAGGGCTAAGTGAAAAAGCAGAGTGTGAACATTCTCTTCCAATAAGATAGCAGAGATTCAGAATTTGTTTTAGTGTTTCTTTTATGGAACACGACAGGGCTCAGTAATACATGGTCTTTGCACATCAGCATTTTCGAGAATGCTTGGACCTCCTAACTTGTTTGATCTCTCCACGTTGGTTTATGTTTTCCTAGTGTTAGCATGTGAGAGGTGTTGGCAGGCCAGAGTGCTCTTGCACTGTGGTATTATAAAAGCCTAATCAGGCCTAGACTGCCAGGGACAAGCTACAGACATACGAACTCAGACTTACTGCCTCCATGCAGCACGGGAGGGCACCCTCCTCAGAGGAAGGATGGGGCGGCCGTTGTCAGGCCCGGTTCATGTTGTGAGATGCTTCATGCTGCGAGATGCCGAGGAGAGGAGGGACCAGTTCTCGGTTGGTTGCCTTTTCTGAGCCCAGATTAGGAGAAGCAGGGGATTAATTTGTTATTGGGTGCAGTCAGTCATGAGGCAAGGGCAGTGTTAACAACAGGATGTCTGCAGTAATCTTTATTCAGGAGATGAGAAATAGCCAAGCAGGTCGGGAGCAACACTGACGAGAAGCACAGTGGTTACTCAGAAAGGGGCTTGTTAAGTCATTTTACAGCTGCTCTGTGACCTTGAGGGAGCAGCCTTGGTTTCCTGTTCACTTCGCAGCTGGTTTTGTCACTGTGGTCCCCCAGCCTGATGAGCAGCACGGCGGCCTGAACTGCTTTTTTAGTCTTTCATCCCCAAACACCTTTACTTCTTAAGTATGTCAATCTTTCAGTACTTAACTGTGATCCTTCCAGCTTTACTGGGTTTGTTCTTGCCCATTTTTTTTTTTTTATGGATCATCTCCATGAACCTCTTAATGAGATAACTAGTTGTTGAGTCGACCTGATTTATGACGACCCCCTCTTTCAGAGGAGAGCTGTGCTCCATGGGGTGTTCAGTGGCCGACACTGTAATTAGAGCGCCATGCTTTTCTTTTGAGGTACCTGAGGGTGGTCTTTCCGGTTAGCAGCTGAGCACACTGTTTGCACCGTCTCAGAACTTCCTTCAGAAGACAGAGCGGTTTCATGATACAGTCTTTACTATTTTCCCTTTATATATCCCATTGTGTGATCATACCTATGTTATTTCTAACCTACCCCTGCCTTCCCTCTCTATACTCGGCTATCAGTTGCTTCTAACTAGCTTTTCTTGAGTATCCCACAGACAGGCACCTCATATTCAACCTGGTTAGATACCTTTTAAAACTAAAATTTAGTAGTAACATACTGTATTTGGTTGAATAATATAATACAGAGTAAGTACTTGTCCCTTTTATAACCAAAACTCACTTCAATCATCCTTTGTTTTGGACATTCATTCATCATCCTATGAGCCCTTGTTTTAAGATAGGCGTGGAATTCCCATCTAGATATTTTCCATCATGTTTTCTCTGACACCAGTCTGCTGAGAAACTCTTGCGTGCAGTGTGTGGATGGGGTAAGGGAAGTGGAAGTCAAGTGGTCTAGATGTGAGGTAGTGTGTCATGAGGCTAGGGTGGCTTGGGACACAGTGGCAGCAGCGATTGTGTGAGAAATTGAGATTGTGAGGAAACAGCATGAAGAAGGAGAAAGGTGAAGCAGGACCCTTGCGCTTTGGAGACTACGGTTGGTCAAGCAGTTGATCACTGTTGACAGTAATCACCATCGCTGATACAATTACTTCTGTGTGACATCCTTGGACCTGATACTTTTAATGTGGTGCCACAGAACTTTGAAGAAGCTTCTGTGATTGTCTTACACTTAAGAAAACAGAGGCTTAGAGAGGTTGGTGAACTTGTTAACATGGAATTAGGAGTAAGACAGAGTAACTCTTGCATTTGTGGTCTTCCCTAACATGATACTCTCTAGCTTAAGGTGAGTGGTCAAAAGCTATCTTTTGTCTATGTTGGATATGAGGTTAAGATATTGTTGAGACACTTGAGTCCAGGACTCATCGCTTAGGTCAGAGGTAGAAAGTGTAGCAGAGTTGAGTCCAGATTGAGGGAGTTTAATTAGACCAGTGACAATGGTGGAATTCTCCAGGAGAGAGGAGTATAAATAGCTCAGGCAAAGACTGAAGCTTCAGAGGATAGGAAAACGAAACAAGATTTTTTTTTTTTTGTGGTAGATGTGATTTAATTTCTCTTGAGTAAGTTTCATGGAGTAGAATTGTAATTGTTGTGGTGACTATTACATTTAGCTATATAAGAAATTGCTGGGAGATCCAAGATGGCAGCGGAGGCAGAGGCAGTGTGGTGAGCTGTGGGAGCAGTGAACCACTTAAAGCAGGGCCATTACGAAACAAGATTTTTGTGAGAACAAGGTCAAGTTGCAAGAATAACATGATATTCATTACAAGTCATGCTACATAGATTTCAAGAGAAAAACTCTTGGTCAGGAGAATGTCTTGAAAATCCCCTAAAAGCCATGTTGGATTAATCAGTGAGCTACGTAATCATGGGCTACTACTTGTGCTCACTCACTAATCTGTGAGGAACAGTTTTTTCAAAGATTCTGTTTCTAAGTAAGCCTGGTCTCGGTCTTTGTCACATCCTCATGTCACCTTCCTAAAGAAGCCTTTTTAAATTTACAGTCCCTGACGGGAACTGAGTTCCCAGTAAGCAAAGTGAGCTTAGGTTTACTGTTGTTGTTGTTGTTATGTGCCGTTGAGTTGTTTGCGACTCATGGCGACCCTGTGCACAACAGCCCTAAACTGTGCTCTATCCTGTGCCAATCTCATTGCCTCTGACACACCCATCCCGATTACACCAGTCACTGAATCAATCCACCTCATAGAGGGTCTTCCTCTCCTGCACTGTCCCTCCACTCTACCAAGCATGATGTCCCTCTCCAAGGACCTGTCCCTCCTTACAACATGTCCAAAGTATCTCAGACAAAGCCCCAGAATCCTTGCCTCCAAGGAGCAGCCTGGTTTAACCCTCTCTAGGATGAATCTGTTTGTTTTCCTGGCAGTCCATGGTACATTCAATACTCTTCTCCAGCACCACAGCTCAAAGGCGTCAATTCTCCTTCTATCCTCCCTAGTCATTGTCCAACTCTCTGATGCATAACAAGTGATTGCAAAGACCATGGCCTGTATCAGGCGCATCTTAGTCTCCAGAGAGACACCGCTGCTCTTGAGTACTTTAGAGAGTGTTTCCTTAATTATGTGATAAGGTATTGTGCTGCCAACCTGAAGGCATGCAGTTTGAATCCACCAGTGCCTCCGCAGGAGAAAGATGACCAGTCAGTTCCGTGTGATTCACTGTCTAAAAATCCCCTGGCAAGTCAGCTGTGGGTTGGTTCTGACTCAGTGGTATAAAACAACAGTAGCTTCCTAACTGTAGTGAACAGATTCACTTACTCTTTTTTTTTTTTAATCACATGTAGTGAAATTGTTCACTACAGATTAATAAGTACACACAAATATTTAAGCACCTTTAAAAAAAATATTGGCCAAAAAAAATTATTAACATTTAAGTATATTAAAAAAAGTTGTACAAAAATGCTAGATATTTTATCACCATGTATATCACACATGATAGTGAATTTTCCTTTGTTTTTCTCAGAAAAACCTTTTTTAAAATAAAGTTCCTTTCTGTGCTTTAACTTTTTAAAATTATTAACTTCAAAAACCTAACATCAAGACCATAAAGCTCAGTCAGAGATTCCCTAGAGTCTAAAAGAAAAGCATTCCTACCCTGAAGAAGTTCTAGTGATAGCAGCTTTTCAATTGAACTCAATAGGTACGGTAACATACTAGGGGATTTTTGTTCATTCATTCCCCACATTTCAAGTAAACATCTATATGATCCATAGTTAAAATGCATCCTCAGAGAAGGAAGCACAACTGAATTAGAGGGAGTTTTCTACTCTTGTCTTAAAACAGCACCTTAACTCAGAGCATGTGGCCACTCAAATACACTAAGTGACTTTATAGTTTCTCCCCCCCTTTATTATTTTCCACTTTATTTTATATTGATTTTCATACAGAATTTGTATACACTGTGCATCATTCATGTACATTGTATTTCACACATCCCTACATTTACTTCATAGATGATTACTTACATCCATTGTGTTTTATGAAATTAATCACCATTGATCTATGCCTACTATTACCCCATCTTTCCAGGTCCCCATTGGATGCATCTCGATTCCTTCACACCCTACTCCTCTGCTCACCAAGCTTTGTTGTCTTAGTGATATCCTCCTCCCCTCACTTTCTATACCCCCTCCCCTCCCCTTCCTATTTTGGATTTTCATGCCCATCTTAGTTATCCTTCTATTTATACAATAATAATCTTATGCAGTATTAGTTCTTATGAGACTGAGTTTGTTCACTCAGCATAATGCTCTCTAGACTCTCCCATGTTATATAATATTTTATAAAACCATTGATCCTCAGTGCTGCATAGTATTCTAGTGTGTGAATGTACCATGGTTTCTTAGTCCATTCGTTTGTTGATGGAAATTTGGACTGTTTCCATATTTTTGCTGTTGTGAGTAATGCTGCTTTGAACATACATGTACATATTTCCATTTGTGACTCAGTTCTGTTTGCCTTGGGGTCTGTTCCTAATAGCAGAATAGCTGGGTCATAAGGGATTTGTATGTTCAGCTTTTTGAGGAAAGCCAAATTGCCTTCTAAAGTGACTTAGTTTTGAAAGGTGTCTTTGACTTCTTGGGGTGAGTCTGGTACTTTCTACTCCAGGTAACTTAATAGGCTAATTAGAGTCACTGCAGGCAGCGTGAGTGGTGAATAATCGGGAAAAAGAACACTTTGTTTGTGAGCATGGTTGAGTCTGCATTAAGTAGAGTCAGCATCTGAGATAGTCGAGTATTTCAAATAATGCCATTCCATTGAGTGCCCTGGGGATTGTTGGATGGCGCCCTTGGGCATTAAAGGCATCTCTCCTTTTCCCAGGACCTTCGAGAAGTCTGGCTCAATTATCCTCTCCACCCGCTCCAGGTGAGTGTCTCCTTCCAGTCTGCAGTGGGTTGCTGAGCCTCTGCTGGGAGTTTTTCTTTCGTTTGCCCTTGCCCCCTGCTGCTTTCATCCTTTGAGACCCCTCAGTGGCATCTTGACGTTCCGCTGCAGCGTCACAACTGGGAAACTTGGGAACCAAGAGTCAAGTGAACCTGGACATTCTGCTTCTGTGACCCAGCCTGCGAAGGGGACACTGGGGGTTCCCTTGGCTCACAAGCAGGAGCACTTCCTTGGGCAGAGATGTCTTGTGGGGAGAAACCACATATTTAAAGAATTTGCTTCCAGTATGTCTGCATGCCTGCTATTATAGAGAAAATAATACAGGAGCAAGCCTGGACTCATTGAAAAAGTAGAAAACAAATGGAAATAACACTGATAAATTGTAAGCTAATTTGGATGCTAGACTTTGAGGGCTTTGACTCACATTGGCAAAAACATGTTGTAAAGTAAATGCTTAGTAGAGTACGTTGATTTTTTTTTTCTTGTGATTTCAGGATTTAAAGATTTATGCACAGTTACCTCCTTTCCCCAGCCAGTTTAAAAATTCTCAATATTCTTTACTTTTATTTCTGTTTCAGTATGGAGATAAAGCTGTACATACATGCACACATATGCATATTTATATACGCATGTGTGCATAAAATACAGCAACACAAAAAATAAACATAATAAGAATAATCACCAGTGGCTGAATGCTTATAAGAGGCTTTACAGAAATAAATTACATTAATTCTGAGTACTTTTAAGACTGTTTTATTAATAAAAAAATAATCAGTCGAAGTTGCCTGAAGTTGTTGAAAGCATTCATTTTAATTATACTTTTCATATTTACTCACTACTGGTTGTTAAAAGGCTCATCTTTCTGTAGAGTACCTACTTCTAGAATAATCTCCAGCGTGAGCTGAATCAAATTTAATGACACTCAAGTTGCCAAAACAGACCAGTTTCCGAAAGTGGTCAGGCTGCTTTGATGGGTTCTCAGAGTGGGTCCTCCTTCAGCCGTGTCCGAATTAGCTGGGAACTCGGCAGAGAGGGAGAGAGACACACCTCAGGCCCCACCGTAGACCTACTGAATTAGAAACTTAGTGGGTACGGCCCTGCCGTCTGCATTGAAGAAGCCCTGCACACATTCTTCTGAACACTGACGTCGGGGAGCCAGTGCTCTAGGAGATATATATATTTCCCACCAGCTGTTCTTTAGCTTGCATTTTCCTGGGAGATTTAGAATAATACTCGGAATTTTGAACTATCTGTGTACAGTACTTGGCCTTGGAATTTGATAGAAGATTGAAAAGACTCTTTGAGCCTTCTTTAAATATTAGGTTTGTTTGCCGTTGTAAGAACTGAGAAAGACACTTCCATGCTTTATTGCCATTTCAGAAATTCTGCCCATGGGAAGGTACTTTTACAAAACACTTTCTAGCCTAGAATTGGTAATTTCTATTTTT